GAAGTGAATGGGAAAGCAGGGAGGGGAAGGGGGGAGACCGGCCTTTGGTGATAAGAGAAGAGAAGAGACAGGCAGATGGAGACAGAAATAGGGAGGGATGGGAGGTGGGCAGGGACATTTTAAAAGGGAACACAGTGAGTGTGCAGAGGAGGTGCTCTTAGCGGCTGCAGCTGAGGACGTATCCCGTCAGGACCCCACAGCTAGGCCAATACAGATGCCTGAATGCTAACATTCCTCCATGTTTATCACAAAGAGGTGAGGAGTTAGAAACGGGTAGCAGGTGAGGCAGAGATGAGGACGCCATGTTCTCAAGACTACTTCCTCCTGACCTGGGGGCATTGTTCATCTTTGGGGGGACCTGGGAAAGTTGGGGTGCTGGCCACATCCTGGAGTATCTGGCTGTTTCACTTCACTGTCCAGGCTCTGTGGAACCATCAGGAATTGCTTAGACCTGGCAAAATGCTGTTTGAGGTGGAGCCAAGTCGACTCCCTAGGGCTTAAAGCACCTGATCCTTTCCTGGACATATCTGATGGTCTTGGGCCTCCAGCTCTATGGCCAACAGCTTGTAGTCCTGCAACAATAGCTGGTTAGGAATGGCCAGTGGGTTTCCAAAAACATCCCAGTGGGAGCAAGGAGGTATAAACAATGATCCAGTTCCCAGGAATGAGGCAGAGAAGATCCAAGGGTCTGCAATTCCTGGCATCCCAGGAATTCAGAGAGGGTCAGTGTCGAGACAGCACAGGCTGGCCAGTGGGTTGCCATGCAGAGGGCAGGGGCTAAGGGCTCTGAGTTCAAAAGAGACACAGTCACCTGGTACCAGGACTTTGAGAAAAGCCAGAAGGCAGGGGAGAGGACTGTGCGCAAGAAAGGAAGCCTCACTTTCAGGGGAATGGTCAGAGGCGGTAGTCCCGCCAGAGACCCAATTGCCAGTATTGAATGGAAGGAAAAGTCCCCTGTAACAAGAAAGCAGATTTGTTGCAGGTGGAAAGAGCAGATCTGTTGAAGGAGGAGCAGGAGGTGGGGTCCCAGCATGAAGTGATTGCCTTTCGGTGAGCTCTGCCACTGAGCAAACATGCCGCGTTCAACAGAGATCAGGATCGCTGGCAGAATGTTGCAAAGGTCTTGAGATATCAGGATATAGAGTGCCAGGAAGCAGTTATTTGGCAAGCTTGTTCCCACGAGTAAGACAGAATGAGATCCAATGACTTTTTAATCAAACGAGGGTCTCCAGAAGGCACTAGTTGCCTGGTGATCCATCAATCAAAGGGCAGGGGCTGAAGGACCTGAGGATTCAAGAAATGAGACTGGCAGAGGCCTCCCAGTGGGTCGTCATGCAAGGGGCGGGGGTCAAGGGCTCTGAGCCCAAAGAGCCATGATTGCCCGGTACCAGGGCTTATTGAAACCAAAAGGCTAGAAATCACATTCAAGAGACTAGATGGATCCTCACTCGTGTGAACTAGCCAAAGGTGGGGAGGGGCTCACCAATCATGTCATGTTGGATGAAGGAACCCAGCAATCCAGAGAAGTGAGGGTGTCGTATGTAGATCAGGTTCTAGGATTATGGTGTGCCTTAAACTGCCTGCAGGCAGGAGGAAGTACCAGAAGGGCCTGTCCCAGTCAGAGAGCCAATGTTGTAATGTGTGGTGTGAGAGAAAGACACCTTGCGACAGAGTTCAGGTGGAGGGTTTTTTTTTTTAATTGGGGGGTTTCCAAAAACAATGGATGGAAAAAGGGGAAGAGGAGAGGGGAGACCTGTTTCTGGGGGCAGGAGAAAAGAGAGGAGGAAGGAGAGGGGGAGAAGGGAAGAGGGAGAATGGGGAGAGGGAGGGATGAGAGGTGGGCAGGGCCCTTTTAAAAGGAGTTGCTCTCAGTGGCTACAGCTGAGGACACACACCCCAACGTCAGGCCAGTACAGATGCTTGAATATGAACAATACCCACGGCTTGGCCTGGCACCATGTGCATGCCAGCTCCAGACACTCCATGGAGTGAGACTTCCTGACATGCCTGCTTGGACATTGTGCTGGCTCGTCATATGTCAACCTGACACACGAACGAGAGTTATCTGAAAGGAAGGAAACTTAATTGAGACAATGCCTTCATAAGATCCAGCTGTAGGGCATTTTCTTAGTGATTTATGGGGAGGGCCCAGCCCACTGTGGGTGGGACCATCCCTGGGACGGTGATCCTGGATTCTATATAAGAAAGTAGGCTGGCCGGGCGGTGGTAGCACATGCCTTTAATCCCAGCACTTGGGAGGCAGGCGGATCTCTGTGAGTTCGAGACCAGCCTGGTCTACAAGAGCTAGTTCCAGGGCAGGCTCCAAAGCCACAGAGAAACCCTGTCTCGAAAAACAAAAACAAGGGGCTGGAGAGATGGATCAGAGGTTAAGAGCACTGACTGTTCTTCCAAAGGTCCTGAGTTCAATTCCTAGCAACCATATGGTGGCTCACAACCATCTGTAATGGGGTCTGGTGCCCTCTTCTGGCCTGCAGGCATACATGGAAGGAATGCTGTATACATAATAAATAAATATTTTAAAAAAAGAAAAAGAAAAACAAAAACAAGAAAGTAGGCTGAGCAAGCCATGAGGAACAAGCCCAAGTAGCACCCTCCATGGCCTCTGCATCAGCTCTTGCCTTCAGGTTCCTGCTCTGCTTGAGTTCCTGTCCTGACTTCCTTTGGTGATGAACAGCAAGATGGAAGTGTAAGCCAGATAAACCCTACCCAACTTGCTCTTGGTCATGATGTTTTCACTGCAGCAATAGTAACCGTGCCTAAGACACACACACACACACACACACACACACACACACACGTATGTAGGGCAGGTAGGTCTGGGACTCCTGGTTTAAATATCTGGACAGTGAGGCTGCCCATGCACTCCTTCCTCCTGGAGCAAAAAAAAAAAAATCTCTTTATAGACATGTGAGTGACTCACCTGTCACTACTCCAGCACTTAGGATGCTGAGGCAGGAGAATTGCTGTAAGTTTTAGGCAAGTCTGGGATAATCAGGAGATACTTAGCACTGGGAAGGCAAAAAGAGGAGGATTCGTGGGGCTTGGTGAACTCCAGACCAAGAAGAGACCCTGTCTCAAATGAATGTATGGTGTTCGGAGAATGACAACTGGGTTTGCCCTCTGGCCTCTGCGTGCACAAGTGCACACACAAACATGCACACATACACATGTGTATCAAAGAAATATGAGAAGCTTTGGATGAAGGTTAATAGTGGAAAAGAATCTGAAAATCTGGTGAACTCTTGTGAACAGTGCTCCCGTCCTCCCCGTGCCCAGGCTCTGGTGGACTCTTGTGAACAGTGCTCCCGTCCTCCCCGTGCCCAGGCTCTGGTGGACTCTTGTGAACAGTGCTCCCGTCCTCCCCATGTCCAGGCTCCTCTAGGGCCTCCTCTGTCCTCTGTCTGCAGAAAGCTCCTGCGATGCTGGCTCATGTTTGCGATGCTGGCTCATACAGTGCCCTCAGATCTGTGCTCGGGTGGAGGAGCGCAGCCTCTCCCCTGCCCACTGTGTTCTCACTTCGGCCGCTGCCCTGCTGCCCTGCGGTTGCTTCCACACAGGGCCTGCTGTGCTCCAAGGCACCTGACTGGGTTAGAAAGAAAGGTGATTGGACCCGGAGCCGCCGTCCATCCGCCGCCTCCTCAGGAAACCGGGTGCTCACTCCCCTAGACTGCTGTCTGCCCCACCCTTTCAGCTCTAGAGAGCCTTGCTGAGTAGAGTGTAGGGGAGCAAGCCCAGCACTAAGGCAGACTGGGAAACTGCAGCAGAACTGATGTGGATGGAACCAACCACATCTCAGTCTGAGGGCAGCGTTCCCTGTGACTCATGGCTGAGACCCTGTCTCAACAAGGGGACAGACAACACACACAGACATTGCTGATAGAGGAACAAACACATCTCTTTATTCATGTTTACCGAGGAAGTCTACTAGTTCAGATACATGAACTGAAAACTTTGTAATCTTTGGAAACTTTTGTTTGGTTTGTTTTCTTGAGATACAGTCTTACTATGTAGTCCAGGACAGACATGAGTTAATAATCCTGCCTCTGTCTCCCCCTGCTGGAATCCAGGAACATGTCTCCCCTCCCCCCTCCATTTTTCCACCTTAGAAATGATCTGGAAACACATTTGAAAATTATCTAGTATTCAAATACATTATTACAGGAAAAGAAAACGTGTATCTTCATGGATGGCTTTGACTCTTTTGGTCTATTGAGTAAAAAAATATTAAATTACACTTCTTTTGGTGTGCTTGTTTGCTATGTGTGCGAGACACACACCATGCACGAGGACGTTAGAGGAGAGCTAGAGTTAGCTTTCTCCAACCTTGTGGGGCCCAGGATCACACTCAAGTCATCAGGCTTGGTGGCAAACACCTTTACCACTGGACCACATCACTGGCCCTGGTCCATTAACTCTGCTTTCTCCTTTGGTACCCAGAGGCAGAGAGTGTGGGAATAGGGTAGCCTGCTGCAGAGCCATGGGGGTGATGCTGTCCTACCCTGGGGGCCTCTAGGCCTGAAGGAAGCAGATCATGCCTGAGTCTTGGGGTCTACTGGGATGGATTTTCTTGGGACCAGCTCCCTCCCCCCTCCTGCCCCTCCCTCCTTTCCTCTCTCTACTCTCCTCAGCTATGAAAAGACTGCATAAAAAGGGCCACTTCAAGCCAGAAAAAGACTCCCCACAGAACAGGAGATGAACAGGCATACTGATGTTGAACGTGAAGTCTCCACAGCTTTTGTCGAGACTGCCTGAGACTGAAGTCTTGGCTGTGTTGGTAGCAATCCCCTCAGATAGGTCTTGCTCTAAACATCCCTTAAACATGGCCTATGGGCACTGTAGAGAGGGTAAGTCTTACCTCAGCATCTGAAGTACCTCACCCCATCCTCAGAAGCTGGAAACATGGCCCTTGGTGTCACCCTGGAGCCTTGGGAACAAAATCCACATCCACCACTCTTTTATATCTGTTTTATTAGCAGCAATATATACAAAGTGGAAAATGACTTCATTTCAGTTTTCTAGCTTAGAAAGTTTGCCTTTTTATTATTCTGTTTGATGATAAATGAAAAAGCAAGCATCCAAGAAGACGCCCACCTCTGCGGGTGCTGAGTGCCGCCCAGGACCGGACGTGGAGTGCCGTCTCACTGGGCCTCAGCAAAGATGCAGAAAGGTCATGCCCAAAGGAGAGGTCGTTTTGCCTATGGTCTCTGAAGCTATCCATGGTTCGTCGGAGTCCCTGTGATGCCACCATTCTGGCTGTAACCTTTCTCTTTCTCCAGGGCTGTGTGTGGGTCTCCAGAGTTGTCTCCTGAGGTTTGTGAACTCTCTAAAGAGCTGGTTTCAAAGGCTCGGGGTGGGATCACTTGGAAATATGGCCCCCAGACAGAGTTCAGAATACTTATGCTGGCAAAGTGAGTTTACCACAAAGGAAGCTGAGGGGGGAAGATGAGCTCCTGGCAGAAGAGGGAGGGGCTCTGCACGTAAAAGCACAGGTAATGCTGACAGGTGCAGCCTGCGTCATCAGCATGAAGGATGCCCACATTTGGGAAGCCTGCGCCTTGTAAACGAGTTTCCCCACTGACGTCAGAACAGGTTACTGCTTGTGGGAGGGCTCACGAGTGTATCCAGTTCAAAAATATTTAATCCCCATGGTTTCAAATTTCCTTCTTGTAAAAACAGACAGGGATGGGCCGTGATGAGATGCCTTGTATATATTCGGTACTGGTAGAGCTGTTTTTTTTTTTTGTTTGTTTTTGTTTTGTTTTTGCTTCATACCTTTACATGTTACAAATACATAGTCAGGTATTTAAAAATGATAGACACCAACATGTCCTTTCAATCGCTGCACGTTGTGAGCGTGCATGATTCCCCTCTAGGCTAGAACACATTTCAAACCATGACTACAGAGACTGTACCACCAAGACAGAACTAAGACATTGGTATTCTGCAAAAAAAGAAAGCAACATTTTTTTTTTATCCAACCCAGTAGTCAAGAAATGTCCCGGTCATGACCTGGTCAGCTTTGAGGAGCAGGTTAGAAGGGCCTCACACATGGTCAGACCTTACAGAAGTCGAGTGCTTAGTTTTCCCAGGGCCATAGAGTAGACAGAAATGAAACAGCAAGGACAGAGTTCACAGGTGACCAGGGCTGGGGATGGAAGCATCTCAAATAGGTTCTGCCTCTGGGAGAAAGGTCACATTATTCACAGGTGGGGTCTTTCCCAAAGAATCCCTGCTCCCTAGAGCCTGCATGGTTTCTCCTCTGGTTCCACTGTGGCCAGAAACCCCCAGCCACAGCAGTCAGGCATACACATGCAGGGGGCTTTCCTGAAGGAAGATGAGCCCCTCCTGGTCACCACATGGTTTGCACATGATCACTGCCCCTCATACCTCCTGTTCCCCCCAGCACCTAACCCCTACACCTTTCTTCATCACTACTTAGAAAGCCAACTTCTGGAGAGCCATGGCCTCTGGCTGCCCTGAATTGGGGTTCTGAGGACCCTGAAAGCTAGGGAGGGCCTGCCATTGGAAACACTGTCTTTACTGAGGTTCAATCTGGGTCTTGGGCCTTGTTCTCCTGTGGTTTCCACCCCACTCTGTACACGCAGCTTCTGCTGGGGCCCTGATGCCGTTCCCCGACTCAGAGCCGCAGAGGCCAGGGAGGACTCTCAGCACCTTCCCTGCCAAGGGGCACGTGAGAACAAGGGAAGCTGGAGGTAACATCTTATGTACGTAAGTCCCACCTAGGATCTAGACAGTCTAAAACTCCAGGTGAGAGTCAGAGCTGATCCCTGGCTTTGAGGTCAGGATACCCCACAGCAGATCCTGTGACTCTGGAGTCCAAGCTGCCAGTGGATTCATGACCCTAGCCTCAGGGAGACCCTGCCAGCAGAGGTGGGTTCCAGTCACAGCTCACCTGGCATCCATCCCTCTTTGGAGTCCCCTTCCCCAAGATCCCTGGGCCTCCTCCCTGACAGTCCTCCTTGGGGCTTATCCCTTTTTAAGAAAGAGGCCATTTTCTCACCTGTCCAGTGTTGCTTGAGCCCAGAGAATGCTTAGCAAATCTTTGCTGCCTTTGGAGGCCGTGGGATGGAGAGGGTGGGCCCAAACTTTCAAACACGTTTAAAATGGGAGAAGAGGACATGGGTTTTGTTTTGGAGGAGAAATAACTGGGCTTAAGTACTCAGGCTTAAATTCCTCCAAGGCAGCCCTGCAAGAGACATTCCGACAACCCTGGGGATCCTGTTTGTACCAAGTACGCCATGGCCTGCTGCTGAAGACCATACAGGGTGGTGCAGCCCAAGTGAGGCACTGCTGATCCAACCGGACCTGCTCGCCGCTGTGCTGTTACCTGCTGATGTTTGCCTTGGGAATGGAGGCTGTCGTGTGACCTTGGCTGCAGCCCCAGTGTACCAAATTCACCGATTTCAATTCCTTCAATTTTAAATATAGTAAATAGTGCGAAGAAACAGTGAATCTTTGAATCAAAAGTGTAGAGGAAAAGAGGGCTGCCACGAGGTCTCTGATGGATGTCCGAGGAGGTCCCGACGGTCCGTGTCTGCATGCCCATCTCTCAAGTCCCCCTTTCCAGGGCAACTCTTGTTAGATGGAAACTTCATACTCTCTCGTTTCCTGTGGGACAGAGTGGCACAGATGGGTCAGATCCTCAGTGGCAGAGGAACAGCCCACGTCGTCCAGGGAATCCCTCCTGTGACCCTGGCCTTGGCCTGGTGGCCCTGCACCATGGTCTGTTCTGCTCTGTCCATTCACTATTACAAGTGTGTGTGTGCATGTGTGTGTCTGTGTGTGCGTGTGTGTGCATGTGTGTGTCTGTGTGTGCGCGTGTGTGCATGTGTGTGCACGTGCATGTGTGTGCGTGTGTATGTGCATGTATGTGTGCATGTGTCTGTGTGTATATGCGTGCATGCGTGTGTGCAGGCATGCATGTGTGTGCATGTATGTGTCTGTGTGTGCGTGTGTATGTGTGTATGTATGTGCATGTGTGTGCGTGTGTTATATGTCTGTGTGTGCGTGCATGTGTGTGCGTGTATATGTGTGCGTGTGTATGTGTTCGTGTGTGTGCATGTCTGTGTGTGTGTGTGTGTTTACTGTGGCATTTTCTGGGGTCTGGCTCTCACCAACACTGTGACCAAGGACAAGCACAGAGCCCACAACAGCTGGTCCTCTAGGAGTCCCACCCCACTGATGCTAGCACCTCCCACTTCACACAGGTAGACTAAGGAATGTGGAATGCCTCCCTCCCCAAATCAACATGAATCCATCCTTTGAACACTGTCTCCACCAGTGTGGCTGGTTGCCTTTCTCCACTGCTCCCTGAGCCAGTCCTAGGGGTGAGGGTCAGGAGCCAATGAGATCACAGGTTCCACCTTGGAAATGAAACTCACTTTCTGCGAGGCTAGCACAGCTATGGCTGTTATCAACCCTTCCTGGCGGATGGGAACTATCATGAGCAGAATGTAAGATGGTTCCCACGGCCCAGGCAGGGCTGAATGGGGGATTCCAGAGGCATCGAGACAGACATGAGAGCAGCCAAGACCAGATGACTGGAAGGCCTCCCTAGGCTTCAGGAAACAAAACACCCTATACAGAGAACTCCTACGACACCCAAGGGACCAGTCAGAGGTCACAGGGCCACCAAGCCAACTCTGGCTCATTTCCAAGCTTGTTCATGTTTGTTGACAGACTTGCTTTTTGCTTTTTCCAGTTACTATCCACAAGCCTCCCTGCTCAACTTGCCGTAAGCAACCATGGAAGCCAGGGTGTGTGCATCATTCCCTGGCCAAGTCTTGGCGAATTTGTGGCTATGGCTTGTGAGCCCCAAAGCAGTGTTTATACAGGAGATATTGCATATAGGAGATCAAAGGGGGAGCAATGGGGCCAGGTCAGTATGGGCAAGGGAGAATTACATGTCATGACACAGTGACCTGAGGGTGGCGCTGTCACAAACCCCAAGCCTGGCCGCTCCCCGTGTGCACACTTGGACCATTTCACATCTGCATTTTCTGCAGCTACCATCTAACTTATACACGCACCTATATCTCAGCTTTACTTCTTCAAAAAGTGTTTCAGGGGTCCTTTCAAGGGTCCCCCTCATGCAGTCACAGAAAATGGCTAGCTTGTCATGGTCCTTCAGAGTGGGGTAATTAATCATAATCAGACATGTTTGATTGAGGCAGGAGAGCATGAGGGTTCAGGATGTCAAGTCAAGCTGGCCTCCTTTCTCCTGGCTGGGTACAGTCTTGTCCAAGTCACTTTGATCTCTCATCCTCATGAGTCACAGGGTAGCGTCTGAGGATCACATGACAGGCATGTGATCCACCACACACCAGTGTTGATGCAGGCCTGTGTGCTCTGCCAGGCTTTGGGGCTCACTGGAGTGAGAGATCATACCTCTAGCCAGTTTTACAACCACAGCTGCGATTCCTGGTGATACTAGTAGGTTCTGCACGAGCTGATGGTCCCATTGCCTAGTGTGGACATAGTCACCCACCATACCAGGTGCACAGCCCATCACATGCAGGTGTGCCTGCCCAATGCCCGAGAGGACAGGGAACTCCTGCCGTTGCCTGCCTGAACATCGCTTCCTGGGTTTACACTGCTCACCCTACTCATACAAGTGGACTTAAAATGCAAGTCACGGGCAGTAGTGGTGCACGCCTTTGATCCCAGCACTGGGGAAGCAGAGGCAGGTGGATCTCCGTGAGTTTGAGGCCAGTCTGGTCCACAGAGAGAGTTCCAGGACAGGCTCCAAAAAGCTACAGTGAAACCCTGTCTCGAAAAACCAAAAACAGTCTGACTTTCAACTTTTTAAAATATCACCCACACATAAAAACAAAAACAAAACACAAGTCACAAGAGGCTGCAGCATTCCCTCCATCTCTAGTATGACTCCTGAGGGAGTGATCTGGGCCATCCAGGTTCACAGGAGAGTGCTCTGTGTGGTTTTCCTGACAGGGAGGTCGGTGAACGCTTTTTAAAAATTGTTTTTATTGAACTATACACCCCCCCCCCCCGCAACCAGGGAACACTTTCTCAGGTCATATGTCTGTCTCTGAGGCATCAGCTGTCCCACAGGAGCCTGCACTGCAAGGTGCAGAATGGTCCATTCTGCTTTGAGATGCAGAAACTGTCTCCGATGCCCCAGCTTGGCTCTAACCACTGGTGAACAGAGCTGGCTTCTCCAAGCAACCTGCTGAGTACAGGGATTTGGTAGGGATGAGGCAGGACTCTTCAGTGGTCTCTCTGCTGGCAGTGCTATATTCGAGGGGGGCGGGGGGCTCCAGGAGAGCAGTAAGTAACACCACTTACCCCGGTCTCATAGATGGGGTTGTCAAACTCAGTTTCCACGGTGATCTGACTGTAGGGGTGGGAGTACATGAGGGGCAGGCGGAGGCTGGAGTACTGTCGGCACCTGCAGGGGAGACAGCGGAGCTTGAGCATCCCTGCCCTGCTGCACCCAAGGCTCTGCATGAGTCTCTGCGAAGGGTAAGGGGTACGTGGACGCGCCGCTGAGCAGGTGGGAGTCCCACTGAGGGCAAGCACCCCAACTCCTCACCCCACAGGGCTGGGGCAAGCCAGTTCTGTCACCTCTCTCCCTGGAAGGAGGAGCCCAATTGCTTTGACTTGTGAAGTAACTTCTGTGTCTCTTTACTCTCCCCTGCATCCCTGGACCACGCCTCACCACGCATGGCAGAGTGCGCGGATGGGGTCTATAGGGCTCTCACTCATTCTCTGCCTGCTCACCTCCCAGTTCACTTCACTTCATAGTTTGTTCAAAAGCGCTACTCATTGCGGCCGCTCCTACCCCACTCTACCCAAACACACAACCTCTGCCTTCGCTCTCCCTTCCAGGCTTTCTTCTGTTTGTCAACGATCTAATAGTTGCTTTCCTTCTGTGCTTTGGAGATCAGTTGCTTTTCCTCACTGGAGTCTGTTTTGCTCACTGGGATGTTCTCAGAGCCCAGAGGCTGCTGGCACACAGGGGTAGCTCTGTGATCGTGTGAACAGTGCCCATGACTGTTCTGGACACGGTTTCTGTCCATCGAGGGCAAGTGCTGTGACCTTCAGCACCCAGGACCAACCCCTGGGACCACTGCCCACGACTGTGCATTTGCTAAGTGACAGAGCTAACAGAGGAACCGAGAGGCACCAAGACGCTTTCTGACTGACCGTAGCATCCCACGGCACATGAGGTCGCTACATCCAAGAGCCTGGCAGAGATCCTGAGGCCCTAGAGATGCAGATTCACAGCCGCACACCCCACCTACCTCGTGACGTAGATGTAGGCTCCTCCCAGCAGCAAGGAGATGAGAAGGACCGGAATGAAGATGGCCAGCGCCATGTTCCCGCCCTCCAGCGAGGACTCTGCTGCCGCTTCTGCTACTGAGCACACAAGCCACTGAGGCTCCTTTCCCACCACCTCCACACCCACGGGGAACCTGACTCTCAAGGGGGTGCCCCACCCCCTGACATCCCACAGCCTCGGACACTGGAGGGGCATGGAGGGACAGAGGCAGTGAGCAGAGGCCAGGCTGCTGACCTTGGCTAGGGAGTCCCTGGTGGCCAGAGGGCGGCTGAGAACCAGCTTGAACCCTGGCCATGCCAGATCCATTGGAGGGCTGAGAAGAGGGCAGAAGTCTGGTTAAACTTCAACTCAGGGGGCGACCTGGATACAGTTCAGGAACAAGCTTGCCTTCCTCTCCGGTCACCTGTGAGCTGCTGCACCGGGCTGGAGACCCTTCTAAAGCTTGCCAGTGGGATGCCACCCAGGGGTGGCTTGGGGCGGTGGGGACCGTGCGATTGCCCAGCCTCACATTGCCCCCAGTGCATGTGGCAACTGCAGGGACCATGGTAGATATCTTGGGGGCTGGGAGCACTTGTTCCTAAGAAGCTCGACCCCCTGTGATTCCCAGGCAGAGAGATCCCATGGGGGCACCCTGCTTCCCAGGAACAGCTGACCCATTATCCTCCCAAAAACTTATCTTTGTCCCACTCAAAGTGAACATCAGCTAATGACCCGTAACTCCCACAGCCCGACACCCAGCGTGTTGTCAGCACGATGCTAATGGTGCTGGAGACGGCAGGAACAGCTGTCAAATTGCTGAGGCTTTTCCCAAAGGAGACAAACAGGTCATTGTCATCTGTGTGCACAGTCCTGCGCTGCACTGCACGGCACTCACACGGCGCAGGCATGGCTGCTGCATGTGTGGGGTTCGTCTTCACTGTAGCCCTGACTGCATCAGGAGGCACACGCCTGGGGTAAGATATCTGGAGAGGTCTAAGTGAGGTGGGGAGACTCCATCCCATGGGCTGCTGTCCCTCACGGAATCCCAAGGAGAAAGTGAGCCGAGTATCGGTGCTCATCCCTCTTCCTGACTGTGGGTGCCATGCAAGTAGCTGCCTCATTCTCCTGCCTCCGTGCCTCCCCTCTCAGGACAGACAGAAACTGGACTGGTAAGCCAAGCGGCCTTTGTTGGGTGTCCTAGCAGGGAGACGAGTGACTAAGACAAGGAAGAAAGGAAAGAACCTAAAAAGCGACAGAGCCTGGCTCCCTGTTGTCACCTTGTGTGTCACCTGCCCCACAAAGCAAGGCACCAGAAAAGGGAGAGGGGGGTTGCCAGGGAGCGCAGTCAGGGCTCTGGATGCTCCAGGCAGCCCTTTCTCCAGCGACTGGAGGATGCTCTGCCTGGGGTGTGAAGTGAGGCTGTTTTGATCTCCACAGCACCTGTGGGTCAGAAGCTGGCTGGCAGGACTGGGACTTGTCAGGCTTCTCTGGCTGCATTGCCACCTCAAATCCCTGTGTGTGTATGTGCCAAGTGAGTGCAGTTGCTCATGGAAGCCAGAAGAGGGCGTTGGAGCCCCCAGAGTTGGAGTTACAGGTGGTTGTTAGCCACCTGCCATGGGTGTTGGGAACAGAACTTAGATCCTTTGGGAGAGCAGCACGCTCTTAACCGTAGAGTTCTAGCAGCTACTTCTGGAGGCCCCAGGGAACGCTAACTACAGCCACCGATGTACTGGAACTTTCAAGATAAAGTGAAACTCACCTTCCAGTGCGTGTTCGAAACTGCCTTGGTTAACTGAAACAGAAAGCAGGAAGCGGCATCAACACCAAGGGAGTCCGCCGTTTGCATAAGAAGAAGCTGACGTGGTGGTGGTGGGGGGAACATGGGAAAGCCCAGGGTGCACAGGGTGAGGGTGCTGCTGCGGGTACCAGGCAGGATGGTTCCTCCCACAGCCGAACCGAACCGAAGACGGTGAGAGGAGACGGGCAAGGACCCCGGCATCATGGATGGTGATGGCACATGCTGTGTTCTGTTTGTGCACAGAGCTCTTGCACACTCACACCCACCCCTGGCCGGTCTACTGCGGCACCTGTGAGTGCTGCTTGTCACCAACATCTTACAGAGGAGCCGGTGGTGCAAAGAGCTGCGGGGCTCCTCCGTCACACACTCTAAGCGTGAGCGTGGATGGCAACCCAGGGCGTTAAGCTGCTTTCACACCACTTTTTTTTTTTGACACAGCCTCTTGTGCTGGCCTTGAACATTCAGTTGCTGGAAAGAAGACTATGTGGTCCCCACCTCTGACTATTGGCCTCTTCATGGGGTCTTTTCATGTTGTTTCTAAGAGGTGTGACTCGAGACCCCGACACGGGCTCAGCCTGTGCACTGCGTCTGTCCCTGTATTTATTGGCTGGGTTCTGCATTCCTTGTAAAATTATTTTCATAAGCTCATATTTCTTATAAAGCCCGGATATTCAAGGTACCAGGGGTGATATCTGCGCTCTGTCGCCAAAGTCACTATGCTGGCCAAGCACTGAACTGCCGGGACCAGGGCACGCCCAGAGGCAGAGCCTGGAAGTGAAGGTCTACGGGGGAAGACTGCGCGGACAGCAGCCAGGCCACTCTGGCCGCTCTGTAGGTTCCAGGACCCCCGATTACATCTGGACTGACTGAGGTCACCACTGAGCAGTGACCCTAACCCTGGCTGAGAAGCTAGCTAGCTGCAGCACTCCAAATGTGCCCCAAGTAGAGAATTAATTCCTAGATTTACAGGTTGATGCTGTTTGAAGGGGTATGGCTTTGGGTGGTGACTGTAGGAGCTGGCAAGCTCTCTCTGTCCCACCATGAGCTGGTCCTGCCGCGCCATTGGCAGCACGGACCCCCACAGGTGCAGTACTGCGCTGGACTCCCCGCCTCCACAAGCCTGAACCACACACACACACACACACACACACGCTTCCACTCTTTGTAAACTCTCGTCTCAGATATTTTGTTCTGGTAACAAAAAAAGGAACCGAGAGTAGGTGTGACAGCACACACCCGCAATCCCAGCACTTGGGAGGTGGAAGCCGGAGGCTCGCAAGTTCAAGGCCAGCCTTGGCTACAAAGAGAGTTCGAGGCTAGCCTGGGCTACGGCAAGACTCTGTCTTCAAGAAACAAATGGTATGAACCAAAGGAAGAAAACATACTGGACAGGCACCCACTGGATTTGGATCCCACGAGGCCACAAAGGCCGCCCTCAGAGCAAGCTCAGCTTCTCCCCGGGCCAGCCAGCCCTGACCCGGGGTCCCCAGGTCTCTTTACCTTTGCAGATGGGCAGGGGCCCGCTCCAATGGGACGGCTGCCCCAGAATGCAGCGGATGGTCACTTCGCCCATGAGCTCGAAGCCCTCGTAGCACATGAAGGTGAGGGACTCTCCGGGCAGGTACAGCCTCTTGTACAGGATCTGGTAGCCGTTCTCAGGCAGCCCTGGGTTGTCACATGCCAGGGACTCCTCGGCTGAAATGAAGCCAGACACAGGCTCTGAGAGTCTGTCTCAGACTCAGTACCAGTCTCCGGGTAGCCCATCCGCAGCATCCCCTCTCAGGGCCCTCCCCTGCACCCAGATGGTTTCCATCCCTCTTGTTCTCTCCCATCTCGGGGTACATCTACATGTGAACACCACAGAATGATTAGGGTGGTGGGATCGGGTTAGAAATCTCAGTTCTTTCACTGACTAGCTGTGTGACCTCCAGAAAGTATTACACCCTCTCTGAGCTTCTGTTTTCTCCTTAGCAAATGGGAACACGACTGCAGGACTCCAAAGAACAATGGATGTAAGATGTGAGAAGCATCCTTGCCGTGTGGAGGGCACTCAGTAAGTGACGGAAGTTGGTGGTGATCGATTAAAAAGCCTGTCCACTCCTCCAGAGCCCATTTGGCATGTCCAGGTCTGGTCTCCATCCTTCAACATTCCTCCTCCAGGAATCTTTCCCTAATGCTACCTGCCACCAAGTTTCTAGTGTTCTTCTTCCACCCAGCAGTGCCCACACTGTAAATTATTCAGGACAATTGTCCTGCAGAGACTGGTCTGTGGAATCAAAGGCCAAGAGCCTTAAGTGGCCGCAACCAATAGGCTCATACTGCCCCCTGGTGGCTAATTTTGGGTACTGCCGACGCCAGCCAATTCCTGGGAGACCTAGAGTGGAACTTGCTGGGTGAACCATTTGTCCTTGGGAGACAGCCAGCAAATATTGCTCAGCGCCACAAATCCTGAAAACTTTTACAAGAGTTTAAATTGTGGCAAAATCCTCAAACAGGTTACCGACTTCCTTAGCCGTGAGCAGCTGATCTCCAGGACGCAGGGCGTCTTGCTGGAGCCTCCAGCATCAAGGCTTCCTCTCACTCTAGCTTCTGGAAGCCAGCTTCCTGTTTCCTGTCTTCGTGAACCCGAGGAAGGCAGGGATTCCCACAGGTGTGACTACTCTGGGAGGAATGGCTTCTATCTCTTAGCAAAGGTCCTTGAGGCCTCTCTCCGCGTCGGCTGAGTAGTTCTGTGTCCCCACTTCCCATTGGTGTACACCTCCAAGGTAGGCTAATGTAAACAGTACTGACATCACCGTGACTGTGTGAATCTGCTGAGTTCCACTTCTGGTTCTTTGGAGGTAGATACCCAGAAAGATAATCGCTGGGTCCCAGGGTAGCCCCATTTTAATTTTGAGGATCCGTATGCAGTCTTGACATCAGCTACCCTGTGCTATGTTCTCACTGAGTATGCACACGGGTTCCAGTGTTTCCACAGAGCCCTACCAGCGGGTCTCACTCTGGCTTGACAAGAGTGGTGGCTTCAGGTGTTGCCTCCTGCGCCCGCAGCCCCGCAGTTCAGAAAATGAGAGGGAGTGAGCTTCATCAGCAGGTGAGCAAGCCTCGGGCGAGAAGGGACCCGAGACAAGCCTGCGGCCTAGGCTTCCGTCTTCCAAGTGTAACCTATCTTCTCAAACCCACAGTCCTCAGTCCAGGACTCGGGGGAACTGGCCTGTCTAGACCCACAGGACCTGGAAGCAGTTGATAGCTGCTCTTAACTGTCCCTCAGGGCCACTTCATCCCCTCCCCAGTGACTGTGCCGACCTCACACTAAACACGAGCACTTTGCCGTGTGAAGGGCCCTCTCCTCTCTCTTCATGCATGCTCTCCCCCCTCTCTCTCCCTCTCTTTCCCTTCTCTTCTCTTCTCTTCTCTTCTCTTCTCTTCTCTTCTCTTCTCTTCTCTTCTCTTCTCTTCTCTTCTCTTCTCTTCTCTTCTCTCCTCTCCTCTCCTCTCCTCTCCTCTCCTCTCCTCTCCTCTCCTCTCCTCTCCTCTCCTC